ATTGTTCAACCGTCACATACAATTTGAGTGACCATCATAATTCTCGCTGTAGCCGCGCAGTCCGCCTTAATTTAAGTCTATGTCCTGCTAAATCTGATAGGTGACTCTTGTGTGTTGAATAGTCCCTAGTCTCTTGCAAATCGCAGTATCTCTTTTGATCCAATGTCAATTTGATTTCATCCTTTCTAGGAAAAGGTTTGCCAAAGGTCAGCTAGAGAGTTACAATCACACAAGATGTGATGTGACGTTTCCTCCTCTTCTTCGCATTTCCTAAAAATTGGCGTTGCTGTAATTCCCAAAGTATTTAGATGTTTAAATAAATGTCTGTGTCATGTTTATAGTCCAATTAGCAACCTCGTATTTTGGTCCCTGTTGGTGTTACATCAAGATCCTTTATAATCATATGCCAAGATGCTAAACATCTATAATTGTCTAAGTACCACTAGGTACGTCCATATTTTCCTATGTTCTTCTCTGCTCCTGTATTTTTTTGATATTGCTTTCGGAGTTTGCTTTTGATATCCTACCGCTGGTTCAGGACCATTATAGGAACAGCTCGTTCGTTCTGTAATACTATTCCAAAGTTGTTTGACATTCAACACAATCAACCATACAAGTACTTATAGCACAAAGATGCAATTCCTGCCAATAAATTATTAGGAGAGCAATTATTGTAAGTAGGAATGTAAACAAAATGTTTAAAAAAATTACCTTGGCCATAATATTATAAGGTATCTTTAACTCTATCCAAAAAGTGTAATCGGTTGTATGTTATTAGTTTGTACATTGACTAAGATTTTTTTCGTCTAGTTAATCTTAAGCTGTAAAATCCTAACGCCCTAACCAGTTTAGCTAAAAAGTTATAATAATTGTGTATTTTACATAATAAAATGTCTTTTAAATGAAATAAAAACCAATGAGTCGGTGTAATTCTATAGAAATATATTACCTATTGAATTAGTAAAATTTAAATTTAATATATTAATATAGTAATGTTTATAGTGACATTTATATTGTTGAACTCGAGCTAGCTCCGTTTGGGGCGCTCACTGCTATTCCAATAAAGAGGTTCCTCAATAATATTATAAACTTTTAATTTTGGGAAGTATACAATTCACAAATAACGAACGAGCCAAGGAGGGGGGTAGATTAATTTGGGGGGGGGAGGGAAGGTGTTTTTATAAAACGCCTGAAAATGATAAAATTGTAATTGTATTTCAGCAATAGCAGTATTAATTTATATGTATATAATATGTTTCATGATTTATACTAGACGGTACCTACCAATTATTATTAAATAGATGCTACTTATAATACAACACCGTTAAACTGGCGGAAAAAATTAAACATATGTTATTACCTATGTATCTCAGGGCGTGTGAGAATTAATTTTCATAGTACACGTTACTACACGGGTAAGTGTCGGTTTGGTCCGTTTAAAACGGAAACGAACGTCTTCGCCGGCAATAATAATAATTCGGCGAAGCTCTAATCGTTGTTAATAACACTGTTGAGTTATCGACACGATGAAAGGACGTAGGACGGTCGTTTATTTTAATAGCGTTAATTTATAATGTATTTTCATTTGTATTAACGTTACCTATTAGGTATAAATCGATGGCGTAAATTGTTTTTTTCTTGTTTTCCCTGTTTTGAACGAGGTTTCGGCGTTGAGGTCTGAATATAAAACTAGTTTATACCTATCTTGTATGTATAAACAGTCGACATAAAAATGTGTACCTAGTCAATCATTTTTTGCTATCGGAGAAGAATGGCGACGGGGATAACTGATAAGAGAAACTGCGGATAAGAAATTGTTGATAAAAAAATCAGCTGATAACGGATTATTGATAAGCGACAGAAATCAACTGATGTTATGATCAGCTGATTAACTGTTCACGATCCAATGTGTTTTTCCTTCGGGTGAGAAGTCGAAATTTTTTTCTATTATATAATAATATTTAAAATAATTCTTTAAATATTTTCGGGATGAAATCGTAGTTTAAACTTGATCTAAATTAATTTGCCAATTAAAACTCTTATGAAAACTTGTTCAACCCTTTCTATATTCGAATAATATTAATATTTATTAATCATTTATCGTTTGATTTTCATCAGTGGTTCACAATCAAGACTGTGATAACTAAAATAACAAATGCGATCGATTAGTTCAAGTTCTAGTTTTAACATCATCACAACATGGCGATGCAGATATGATATAATTTTACTTCTAATTTCTCTTATCACATCTCTCGTTAGCTCTTATCTATAATTTCTTTGAGTTATCAATTGGGGTTTTTTAATCTAACCTTAACCTACCCTCCTACTAGATAGGTAAGGCTCAGGATAGGATTTAATTAGATGGGTTTTTTCAGGACCGTTTTTGTGTTTTTTGGAGATTTGGCTAATATTACCAATTTACATCAATCTTCGCGCCATAATATATTTGTTTTATTATCGTTTTGAAACCCGTGTTGTATCAGCTATCATATAATTTTTTCTTTTTTTTTTTTGACTGATTTTCAACACATAATTTTTATTTACAGTTTTAAACCAAAATACATTTTAATTCAGCTGTTGAAATCTGATCATGTGCGTCTAAATATTTAATTTATATTAGTAATAGTCCAATATTACTGTTTGTCCCACCGAAATATAGATAATTTTTCTATGAAAAACCAATTATTAAAATGAAAATAGGCTTGTCGCAAGGCAAATGTTTTTTGACCAAGAAAATATTTATGGGATTTCAAAAATCCATTACTTATACCTACTCAGATTTGTAATTCTATAAAAGATATCGGTGAGTAATGTAATGAAGTAAGTAATTAACACAAAATATATATAATTTCAATAAATAACAATAGGTTTTCTAAAGAAACAGTAGTGGATGTTTTGTTGGACTTGATTTCAAGTATCAGCTTCTAACTGCGCGAAATGTTCAAGTTATCCAAAAGCAATATTATTTTACCAACAATAATAATTACTTAGTATGAAGTATATTATAAGTAAAATGTAATTTCAGACAGTTAGTGGAGATTCAGAGGAGTTACCCAAGGAACTGTATCTCGAAAAATTGAAAGAATTTCTACAATTTTGTCGATTTCATTTAAAAACTATGTTCATTTTACAAACACAGCTGAGGAATGGAAATTGATACAAAAGTGATGTAATAAAATGCACGTTATTAGAATGCACCTATATCAAAATACAAAATCCTAGTTGGTCAAATGTCAACGTTTTTAGTATCTGCAAAGGATTTCTTTTGCGTTCAATTTTATTCAATTTTATTTGGTCCATTTTAGCTGTCCAAATACTTCATTGGATTATATTCAGATATTTGGTAGGGGACTGTACAAAACCAGTAAATGAAAAAATTATTTCAACAGAAGCGGACAATGTACAATGCATTTTGATGTACATTTAGATATACAAAGATAAGATATTCAAAGATATACGTTTACATGTATCTTGAAAAACAAAATATAAAAAGTATTTGAAATACTTGTATCTTAGATACTGCACATTTCTGGCTAGGTATTACTTAAGCCATTTAAAGTGCCACTTAAGTGATTGTCCATGCGTACGGGCAATTTTGTTAGGAAAATTGTTTTAAGAAAATATACTTACGGCCACATGTGTACATAGTTGGGCCAACTAAATGTTTTAGTAAAGCAACTATACAATTAGTTCGGCCAACAAAATGTTTAGTTGTGTCAATTATTTATTTAGTTATTCCAATTTACAAGGAAAAAATACATAGTGGGCCCAACTAAAATTATGGTAAACATAGGCACACAATACATTTCTAGATGGAATAACTAAATAAACTGTCGGCCCAACTAAATATAAGTACTTTAGTTGGCCGAACCAAATGAACAGTCCAAACTTAAGTGCACCTTAAGTAGTGCATTTTAAAACTTAGCTCCTCTTCTATCGTAATCGGCGAATGTGTATACTTTTCTATCCATTTAGCCTAGCTATGCCATATCTCATAGGTCATTTCCATGTATATACATTTTTTTTTTTTGTTATCTGAATACTCTATTATTTCTATTTCTATTATCAACTATAAAAAATGTTGATCTGAAATTATAATTTCACGTCAACTTGTTAGGCGTGTGCGTGCCTTTATGATGAACATACTTTGAAACTTAATGCATTGGAAATATAAGAAATATTCTAATGTATGGTTATTGGGAAGTATATATGTATATTTATATTAATTTTCAAAGGAAAAACGCCAAGTATAAAATTTAAACTATATGTAAGTACAATACTTTATTAATATGCTTCTTACATATTTAACTTGAATGACAGACAACAAAATTGTTTTAAGATAAAATACTTTCGGCCACTTCTTAATATGTGGTTTCTTCCCACCGCGTGGCGGCGGCGGCGGCGGCGGCGGCGGCGGCGGACGAGGAGGTGGGCGACCCGCGGACGCCGGTGGGCAGATCGCCATCGGGTCGGGTGTCGGAATGGGCGGGGCGCCCGCCGACCGGACGCGACGCCGATTAGCCCGGTTGGGCGTCGTCCGGAGAACACCTGTACCGGCGAGTTACGCCCGGCGGACGGCGCGCGCGCGCGCGCGCGGGTACACACGACGGCCTTGCCCGCGTGTGTGCGTCCGGGATTGCCCACCGCGCGAGCACACGTACGAGGTTGGAACGCGGCCGCCGTCTCCCTCCCGCGCGGCCGTCGTCCGGCGACCGCCCCCGTCTCGCTGGCCGGGTCTCGTCTCCGAGGCCGCCGTCCAGCCGACAGTTTACCGTGTGATCGCGTCCCGTCGACGACGTCAGCCGCGCGCGAACCAACACTCAACGGGTTTCGTCCGCCGCCGCCGCCGCCCACGACCGTCTCAGTTCAAAAAGGGCCCGTCCGCGCAGGCCGTTCTGCCGACGGACAAAATATAGTGTGTGCATTTTCCAACGCGGTTTTTGTGGTGACAAATTGAACATTTTTTATTTTCTCAAAAATTAATTCGGTTAAATCGAACAATCAAATTAATTGTTTTATTTACAATAACTTATTTCGGTTATATTACTTTAATATATACATACGACTCGAGTGGTTAAACGGAAATTTCGCACTGGAATTGTCTAATCAAACGCACACACACGAGGCTTGTTGTCGGATGATCACTTATTGAAGGCCACGCTACCCTTAAACACTACCCCTTGACGATACCGCATTATAATGTAAGTGCTGATGTGTATTTTTTTACTATCTATCGTGAAATTGAAATACATAGTGAGCCCAAATAAAAATTATGGTTTACATAGGCACAAAATACATTTATAGATGGAATAACTAATTAAACGGTTGACTCAACTAAATAGTTAGTAAGCCCAACTAAACGAACAGTCTAAACATTCAACAAATATTCTTTTAAATAAAAAACAAAACTATTTAAAACGTTAATGTAAACGGAAAAAAAGTATAAACAGTTTGGGCCAACTAAATGTCTTAGTAAAGCAACTATACCGTTAGTTCGGCCAACAAAATGTTTAGTCGAGCCAGTTATTTAATTAGTTATTCCAACTATAGACGGAAAAAAATACATAGTGGGCTCAAATAAAAATTATGGTTTACATATGCACACATACATTTCTAGTTAGCTATTAGAATAACTAAATAAATAGTTCGGTCAATTAAATGTTTAGTGCTGTTGAACTTATTATTTATTTAGTTATTCCAATTGTACACGTCCAATTGTACAAATTGCTAATTTTAAGTTGAAATAACTAAATGCATACTTGTATCTACTAAAAATTTAGTTAGCCCAACTATTTTTTTTTTACCAATTAAATAGTTTATCTCTTTGAAACAATTTTTGTTTGTGTTATTTTACAAAAATATATATAATTAAATATTTACCTTTTCATTAGTAATTCTCAGAGCAATCGAATTTTTAAACTTTAATGGTAACACATGTATTTTTCAATTAAGAACAATTAGCTGAAAATTAAAATGGCCGATAACCAGTTTTAAGTTATCACTTTTAAAGTTATATTTGAGTTAAAAACTAAGGACGGGAGTTTGAAGTGCGGTTGAATAATGTGCAACGATAATAAACATAAAACTTAATTTCACACTTCCACCCTTTTAACTTTAACGACAAATACTTATTTATATTTTTTTTCTACATATATTCCAAAAATATTAAAATTTTCGTATCGACAAACCCACTTTGAAAATTTAGTTTTTGAGAAATTCGTTGTGCATCATTCGAATAAAACTCTATTTAATTATTCATCTTGTTAACACAATATTCAAGTAAATGTTATTCCAACAATTTCAAAACTAATATTACTCGAATAATATTTGATTGGAACGAAAAATTAATTACACGGTTTGTAAACGCTTTATTAAAGTAATTATTTTTTTTTTAAACAATTTTTTATTGGAATGAATTGTTGTAAAAAATATTTAAATAATTTCCAACGTAACGTTTTATTCGAATACGGATTTTCACAATAGCTGTATGATTACAACACTTTTTGGCACAGTCAGAAGGCAGCAGTTCATAAAAAAAAAGTCTTTCTTTTTTTTTTCAAGAAAACCAAAAATAATCTTAAAAGAAAAATGACCAGCCATCTATTAAGCACGCGCGCTGTGACCGCACGTAATTCCGGTCCGGAACGAATTTACCTAAATGGAGTGAAAAATCCGCGCGGTTAACCGGATAATAATAATAATAAGATATAAATTTATATCTATCTATGTTACCCATGTTGTTATGCCCGTATATCCGTCATCCCGTGATTACTATATTATTTTTATTATATTACATTATAAAGAAAACGTTAGGTGTCCGTTAAACGTGTACGAGACGTGCCTCTTGGGTGTTTTTATTTTTGAAACGTGCGCCACAATGATACTTACCCGGCTTGCTCTCCTCGCGTGCTTAACACAATAATAATAGCATTACTGTATTACTGTTATCACTGGATATATATATTTAGCCCGGAATTCCTGAGACGCGATTCGAGCGACCGTTCTTGTGTTTATAAGCAAAAAAAAAATCAAAATAAATAGTGTACAAATAATGTGTAAAACGAAAAAGTTTATTGTACATTATATACTCTGGATTGTTGCGGTCCAATTGGAAAAAGTGACCTAAAAACAGGGACCGATTTAGATACTTACTGAAACGGCATCCGAAAAAAATGTGTTTCTTCGTTTACTATAAATAAATTATGTTTAACGGAAAAATGGGTTTTTCGTGGAAAAAGTGTTCATAGAAAAATTGTCCACATTATGATTGAAAGATCTTATAAAATCGGTCCGTTGTGCTTACAACTCACCGCCAAAATTTGTGGTAGATGAGATAAAGAATATTTGTCTTTTGATAGTCCCATACAATAATCAATAAAAACGCAGTTGGCTGGTTATTGTGCCGGACGCTTTTCAATTGTATAATATTACCCACGTCAAGTATAGGAACCACCCGAATGAGCGATTAACCGTTTAAGTTGGATATTTCGAAAAAAATATAATAATAAATAATAAAAAAAAAAAAGAAACGAATAAAGGATTACAAATAATTTTGTGGACAGTGGACCATTGAGACTATTTGGCACACCTTCAATTACTATTAGCGAATTGATACGTCGAAAACGGTTTTAAAGTGCTCTTAAACACTTTGCATACCTATTAAATAATACGCTAAATTATTTTTATGACATACAGGGTGATCCATGGGACGTAGCACACCCGTTTCCGGGAGAAATAATTACAATTTTTGTTTCTATAATGTCACTGCGCAATACTCGACAATAACTACCAAACATTCACCTTTGTTAGTGTTTTCCGCTTCAAGCGAATGGCCTTTCAAACTTAAATTTTAACCCGTCAAAACAAGTATCATTTGCTGGAAATTTCGATTGGTCGATTACCAGTTTCGAACGGCTACATAACATCCAGACTAATTTTGTGGGTTTATTAAATAACATAAGTGTTTATAGTGAATACAGCTAAGCCGTGTGTCGTTACACAACCTTAGCGGTTGCCTAATTGGTAAATTATTGGGATGATCCGTATCTACTTATATTTGAATGGCTTGTAGTGTTGGCTAGTATATTATGATAATCATCTATCGGTTCATCCTACCCAAGTATATTAGTTGTAAATATAGAGGTTTTTTAGACCGTACAACCTTCCACGGTGTCTTTGGCCTATAATTATGTACCGTTTTGTTTTCTTCAATTTAACACCATGTCCTTCTTGGTACACACATTTAGGTGATAATTCGGTCCTTTTGTTATAAAACATAGTTGATTTAATTTTCTGTATAGTAGTTTTCGGCAAAAGTAATATTATAATATACAACTCATGTGTTTTAACAATAAGTGAAAACAATTTCAATTCAATATCTGCATAATGTTTGGATTTATTCAAAACCACTTACAGTTCACGTTTACATTACACAATCGACCGGTCCGTGATAAAATCATTTGAGTATAAAAAAATAATAATTAAAAACCAAACGCGCAATGGCAAATTGAATGATAATAATCAGTCAATAAAAAAGAAGGAAATACTTAGTAAGCAATAAGTAGTTATAGTTAGTAAAAAAAAAAAACGTGTACCGGATAATTGATTAATTGATATTATATTTGTAATAATTAATATTATACTCAGACGCATTAGGAGATACGTCAACGACGGGTTTGTTCAAAACGAATAAACGTTTATCTATTCAATTTGATTTCACAATTTGCAATTCAAATGGGTGCGCGAAGCTGTTACTCTTCTATAATTGCACGTATAAAATTATTCAAAAATTAAATCTCAAAAACTATAAAAAATTCCTATATTAATTTTAACAACCACCAAATAAATTATTCATCGCGTCCAGAATGTAATAATTATTTCATACAAAATAATATATTGTAATTAATTTTAAGAAACCGCGTATAAGAAATAAATCGGTACAGGGTGATCATTACACAGGTGAACCGCTCAACTCGATATCTCATAGGATTAAACAAGGAATAACAATTTTTGTTTTCCCTACTTTTGAAACTTAAATGGTAACGCCATACATTTTATTCGTTTTTTAAATACTGCGAATAGTGTACATGTAATGTATAAATATATAACGATAAATAGTATTAAGGCAATTGTAATAACATAGTCTTGGAATAATTATTTTTATGGTCCAAACGACTTGTTTTATAGTTTGTCTTATGCGTTTTTTCAGCTTAATTTATTTCCTGTCTAGACGTTAATTTAATATTAAACGTCGAATTGCCAATTATTTATTCGTTTTACTTGAATTGGACTTACAACAAAATTTATTTGACTAACAAGCGTAGAAAATAGAACATTGAAACAGGTTGATATTCTAAGCTGATTTAATAAATGAATTGTGTTTAAAAAAAAAAAAGCACAAAATAATTAATAGGTATTATATTTGTAATATTTCCCACGACACGTCTGAAAAAAATGTATACATTAAATTAAAAACATAAACAACGTAATTATTATGAGAACTTAATTCTAAACGTTGATCATTAATCAACTCCGTTACAACTATCTGTCCACATACGAAGTGAACATATCTAGTTAGTGGTAAAAACCTAACCGTTTTTGGTTAGAAAAGTGGACTAGATCAATAATATTTTCTTATTACTGGGCTGTATTTTTAACTAAACAATCTTAGTTCAAGATCAACCGAACAATCCATTCAACCATTTATTTTAAATGACAACATTGAATCATGATCGTTGAAAATTTGTATAAAACGGTCGATAAAAGTCCCGATTTCCTAACCAACTCCATTATTTTTGTGCATAGGTATTTTACTGATTTTTAAAGTTTAAATATTTTTGTCAAGTTCGTTTGCTGTTTAAGACATTTTTGGATCACAATAACTTACAGTGCGTTGTGCGGTTGGCCATTGCCCCGTTCTCAAATAGACCCATTTTTTTATTTTCAGGCTTTAAGACGGCAATGCGATAAGGCGTACTCGTGGTGAATTTTTTTTCTTTCTTTTGGAAAACCCTACCGACGTCATGGCCAATTCTACTTCGGTTAGCAAGTGCACGGACTTTTCGGTTTCCAGCTTGTGCCGGGACATGAAGACTTCACCGCCGGACCCGGCCATCGTGATCGGCGGCACCGGCAACAACATGAAGTTAACTCTACCGCTGGCAGCCTGTTCTCCGTTTTCCACAGCTCTGAACGGACCGACCGGTAAGTGGATGACACTTTAATACTTATTTAATTAGAGGTCACGCGGTACAGGGTAACCGCGAGATCACCCTGTACATACATGGCAAATTTTAGTATATTTTTCCACAATATAACCCCATCCCTTATGCGGTAAAACCATAAGTCCGTAAGATGTTTAGGAAATTAACTTAATAAATCGGGAACGATTTGCTGAAAACGTCGACTGGTCGATAACCAGTTTTGAATAATAACCATTCAAAGTTGTTAAAATTTAAAATTTTCAACTTTAGAAGTAGCTACTAATAACAACTGGTGATCGACCAGTCAAAATGCTCAGTAAACTATTCTTAATACCGAAAATTTGTAACTGAGCTTTAAACTGGTTTTCCACCGGTAAACCGATTTTCAGCAATTTGTTGCTCTTTGAAAAAGTTAATTAAATACATTCGCTCCTATTTAAGCGTCATGTAAGAATATGATGATAACGCTCTAGAAAATACTATAAACAAGATAAATATTTGGTAATTTAACGGTATTTTATAAAAACTACAAAACTGTAATTTAATTTTTCCAAGAAAACGAGCGTCTCGCGTTAAATCAACCGGTACATAACGACGGGGTTTCCCCCTCGCCCCTTACAATTTACATATTATTTGCAATTTCAAATGACAGGTAGTTCGGTACCTATGTAACAAACATAATAATCGTATACCATTTAGGCAACGGTACATAAATGTAATATAATCACACATCAGTAATTAGGAAACATTCGCGTTGTATAAATATTTTATTTATAATGTTATTTGAATTATTATGTTATAAAAAAAAACATATTGTATCAGTATTTTTTTTAGTTTTAATGTTGTTTTATACATTGTAAAATATGACAAAAAGAAATATTGATCAGGGTTTCTTTTTATGAAATTGTGTCCTTTTTTAACGGACTGGGGAGATTTCATTAAAAAACTACTATAGACCGGGTTTGACGAACGGTAAACTACAAAAAACTAAAATTACTATGAATTTTCTGGACGGGTTTACTTTCTCAGGCATAAGTATACACATCTTGGTTAGTATTACAGTATTTACAGTTAATAACTGTGTACGTTTCAACTTCTGAAATAAAGTATATTGTACACTCTTTCTGTTCATAAATCAATCGTTCAATTGAGTTTATATCAACTTCAACAATGGTAACGTAGATAAGCATTAAAATTTGAACATTTGAAACTAATAACAATTTCTGGTTTCAGTTATGGATAACTACTTTTTGAGTTGTTAGAGATTACAATTTAGTAACTCAAAAAGTAATTATTACCCAAAACTGGTTATCGGACCAGTCAACGTATTCAGCAAATTGATATTGTTTATTTTAATAGTCAATTAAATAATATATATACATCAACATTTAAGTTTTAAAAGTCGATAGAGCTTTGGTGAAAATAACAAAAAAAAAGGAAATATTTATTAATTTTATAGTTTTGTTAGATAACACAAAACAAAAATTATTGTGAAATTTCAATTATTTTAAAAGATGTATTATAAATATTTTATAATCATATAAAAGATATTGAGTGTCTTGCCCCCCCTCAAATGAATGTACCTACCCTGTAATATAGCAAACGGTAAATAATATTATTATTAATGATAATAATTATTTCTGTTGTCGTGCCGTGAAATTTCTATACCCGTTTAATTTATTCGTCAAGAGTCATGTAAGTAATTTTATTTACTTCATTTTATTTTTTCTGTAAGCATAATAATATTATGTGTAATGTAATCGATGTAAAAAATCGTAGTATTTCCCGAACGACATCATCACGAATCGTCTGCGTCGTAAAAACCATTGGCGTCGATTAAATAATAAAAACAAATGACATGTTAATTACACGAGCCGTCCCACATAAGAAGAAGACCAAATACCTTCGCGGCTAAAAAAATTAATCTTATCAAATCATAAAAACCACAGTAAACGTTAGGCGCGCGGTCACATCGCACGGTTAGATAATAATCATAATAAAAAATATATTATACTTACTACTAACAGCGATAAGAGTGTTTTTTTTTTTAATTTAATGTGAACTACCTAAAAAAAAAAAATAAACTGGTTTTTTTCAATTTACCCGACCACTTGGGCCGTCGACACGATTCGGCTCGGGACGTCTTAATTATTATGTGCATTAAATTTAATAAACGTTATTTGACACCGTGATTAAGTTTCGTTGTTTGATTTTCGGTTTAAAGCAATCTCATTACGGAATTATTCATAAACACGTGTTTTGTGAACAAACAGGTTCTTCAAAAAAAAAAAAAATATCACACCGAATTAACGTGCCACAATATTATTATATTTGGCCCGATGCTGTTGAACTAAATGTATAGTCGTTTAAAAGTTATTTTTTAATTTTTTTTTTATTTATACAACATTTTATAAATTTATAATCTGCATATGGTATACAGGGGGATTCGCTTTTTAAATCTGAAATAATATGAATCAAGTCGAAGCGGATTGGAGTTGGTGAACATTTAGTAAGAGTTACTAAAAAAGGCACTTTAAAATTACCCAAGTTCTTCAAAATAACATTCAAATACTTTCATGCAACTTCTTGTAGTGTTTAGTGTATAGAACTATGTAGGGGTATTGCGTAGAAATGAATACATCTTTAATAATAACTTACAATTAAGTATGTCGACTTTGTAGTGCTGTTAACGTTGGAGTAATTGTTGGTTGAAAATGAGAAAGCAGTTTTAGACAATTCTGATTTTTCGGTCATATAGGTAAAACACTAACATTGTAATTTACCCATTCGCTGCGTGTAAGTGCATATATGCATTAGGTGCATTTATATTGATATCATTTATTGGTCATGGTTAATATGTAATTTGTTACATATCTATTTGTCGGTAAAATAACTGAACTATCGATTATCAAAACGACTTTTATCAATAGAATGCGGTAAACACATAAAAATGGCATATAATATATTTTTATTATAATATTAATCGTTCCTAATTTTTCCATAAATAATCTCTCTACCGTACCCGTCTCCTCGGCGAGACACCTAACCAACATACCCTACCGTTTGAAAAATAAGTTTAAGCATCGTCCCAAAACTCGTTAGGCCCATTTGCCGCGTTTTCTATTCTCCGGTGACTTTCTAAATGGCTAAATGCAATTACCGAACCATTGTTTCACTGCCACTTGTAATTTCACTTTCAAACGGGCGGCCGTTGGTTTAAAATCACGTTTTTTAATATTTTTGTCATAGCGTTTACCTACCTCGCAATACGTCCAAATAAAAACAATATACTATGAATAATATTGTAATATTGTTAAACCATCACAAACGTCATTTCAAACCGCTTGAGTGACCATCGTGATTATTCTGTCCAACCGCAGTCAACTATACTGAAATAAAATCTAATATCTATTTTGAGTTTAGGTCTAGAAAGGCAATGCTGGCGCTATATGAAACTCTATATGTGAGCCTACTTCCTACACATACAGGGTGCATATTAAGAATTAGATACTAATTTTTTTTCCTTAAAATAATTGCAATTTTGTAGGATATTCAAATTTTCGAAAAGGATTACTAATTATAATATTGTTTAAGAACTATAATTTCAATATCAAAGCACAGCGATTGTCGACCTATTTGTTATTAACGCTAATTACTAATATATTATGTATACTTATATATTCTCTATTGCGCATAAGGCGATTGTGAATAATATCGATTAATTACAAAATATTGATTTCTATATATTTTTATGATAAAAACATAGCTGTTAATGATTCAATAACAACTATTTTTATTTACAAATATTACTTTGCTTTATTTAACAAATACATGCAAATCTAAAGACTGTATTAGTATAAATATAATTTATGTTAAGCGCTTAAATAGTTAATTAAATATAAACAATTCCTACTGAAGGTTCTTCCAGAGTCCAGAACTTTGTCAGTAGTTTATCTAAGTCTTTGACAATACAATTTTGGAAACAATGTATAGGTATATTTGTATATTTAAGATATGAATGTATGTAAGGTAAAACGGGATATAACAATTTTTTTTTGTTACGAGGCAACACCGGGTGTACTTTGCATGTGTAGCTCGTTACCAGACAAAATTGGAAGTGACCGTTCTGACCTAATCTATTTCGGGCCAGCACCACACATACGGGTTTTTACAGGTGGCATCTGTACATAGATCGGTCTACCGTTATGGTGGTACAAGAAGATATCTCGACCGGATAAAGCCCGGCAAATCTACGGGAAACGTCTAACTGATTAATGCATTGGAAAACGTAACATTGTCCACCGGGAAAGCCGCGAGGGTATTTCCATAAGAAGCATAACGGGCGTGACGATCCCCCGTTTAGGTATCCGTACCGAGACTGCCTCTAACACCTTCTCCTGTGGATTGTGCGTGGAATCAGCTAACCGGTTCTTAAAACGAATTTGTAGAAACCGAAAACACACATGACGCACCGTCGTGAAATGTACATGTTATATTTTAATTTGTAGCGATATACATAATATTCATTTTTACATTTACATAACGTTGAGTCGAAAAGATTAGAACATAGTATTTCTTTATTGGCGATTCGCCGTTTATTCGCTTACCATTATGACATGTCGTTAATACTACCATAATAGTAATATTTACAGCGAATCGTTTACTTAAATGCATAAATTGTGTTAGTTAACTCGTTTATTGATCAAAACGTCAGCAATTATGAATTTTAATCTGAAAACACTACACAAACCGTAACTGGTAAGTTGATAACATTTCAGCTATAAACAAAAAAAAACAAAAATGTTAAAATATTGATTGAGAAAATGATCAACAATTAGAGGGGGTTGGGAGCGGACGACTTTCAAAATCCAGATTTATAAAATAAACACAGATAAATACTCATAAACGGGTATGTTTACACATAGTTAAATATTATACGTAGAACGTTTTAAACAAAACTGCGAAAACTAATCTATGACCAAAACACGGGATATCCAGCAG